TTTTTTGTAATTCAGTGCACATGTAAAGTTCCTATTTTAGATGTCTATCTTCTAACACTTATATGTTCTGCTGCAGGTTCTATTCCCCCATGTGAGGGGGAAAGACATTGGCCAAGGACTGAATTTGCCATTGATCCACCCCCAATTAAGATAGGGCCCGGAATGCCGAGAAAAAATAGGATCAAGGATCCATTTGAGCTGCCAAAAAAACCGGGATCATTGAGCAAGACAGGGATGGAAATGACTTGTTCTATCTGCCAAGTCAGAGGACATAATGAAAGAAGGTGTCCCAACAAAAACACTGCTACTATAAGGGAACTGGCTCCTAAAAGACCAAGGGGAAGACCAAGGAATGATGGTCAAACCCCTAAGCCTAGGTCCACTACACAACCATCTTCCAGCTTTGCTCTACAAGCAACCTAACAGCCCACACAAGTGACAACTAAATCTATGGCTTCTTCACAAACCACCAACTCCGGACACCATAATGCCACTGCCCATCCAAGTCAATTGGGTAGGGCTAGGAGAATGATTAGGGGTGGAATAGGAGCTAGAGGTGGAAGGGGAGGTAGAGGTGGATCTGTTTCTGGTTCTGTGGCTAACACTAGTGGAACAAGAGGTAAAAGTGGAGGATCAAAAGCAAGGGGGAGGAGGGGTGGATTAAGAGGTAGGATGCCTGTAGGGGTTGGAGTCTTATTTGCATCTGATGGCACTGCAGTCACAACAATGAGTCAATTAGTAACCCTCTGTATTGGAACTTGTTGTATCAATGTATGCTAATTATTTTTCTTATTTTTTTTCCCTTGTACGGGCTTCTGGTACACCAACAACTTTGCATAGTCAGTCCGTTCCTGGAACACAATCAAGTCAAGTTTGATGACTTCTACTACTGCTACTCTTCTTTTTTTTTTTCTCCGATATTCAAGTTCATTTGCATCAGTTGGAGTAGCTAGGTTATTTTGGGGTTGTTATTGTAAACAATGGTACTAATTTTTTGGGTAAACTCTGGATGTTGTTATCTTTTGGCATTATATATGATAATGCACTAAACTTACTCTTGTAATATTTAGGCATGATTAACATATGCCCTGCTACTTATGAACATGCTGCTTCAGATGTTATGACTTCATTTTGTTTGCAATGTTACTAATGTACTTGGAAATGTCAAACAAAATCTGAAATATGCTCATCTTATTCATCAGTTCTTCAACATTATATCAAATAAAAACCTTCCCCTACAATACAAATGACCAACTCTCTTTATCAAGTGACCAACTCTCTTTCAACCTGTCTAGCAACTTCTCTTACTGCCTTATCTCCTTCCACTTGGCACAGTCGCTTAGGACATCCTGGAGCACCCACTTTGATTTTTCTTAGGAACAATAATTTTTATTGATTGTAATAAAGAGCAAGACTCTACTTTTTGTGTAGGTTGTCAATTAGGGAAACATGTTTGCTTGCCTTTTCATAATTCAAATAGTACTACTTTTTCTGCTTTTGATATTATTCATGCCGATCTATGGACTTCTCCTATTCGTACTGCAAAAGGGCACAAATATTATCTAGTGCTTTTCGATGATTTTACTCATTATGTGTGGACCATTCCTCTTATGTTCAAATCTCAAGTCTTTCAAACTTTTCTTAATTTTCGTCAATATGTTATGACTCAATTTGAAAGACCTGTTAAGTCATTCCAAAGTCATCATGGTCGTGAGTTCCACAATGACCCTTTCAAACTCTTTTGTGTCAAAAATGGAATGGTTTAAAAAAAAAAATAAAAAAAATAAAGGGGACTAGTGTTCCAATTGACAGAAAATAACAGAGCACAATTTAATTAGGAGGAAGAAGAGAGAATTACGAGGAACAGGGGAGATTTTAAGAGAATGGGGGTGGAAATATTTTATTTTTTATTTTATTTTTTTACAAATAACGGTCATATGCCACGTAGGACATGTAACCTATTACATCTGGTAAACTGACCTGTTAGGACCAACAAAAGAAAAAATGTGTATAAGGTGGGATTATTAAATAATAATCGAAAGGTGGGATTATTAACAGCGAATCGGGCAAAGATGGGATTATTAGAATCAAATTTTCCTTAATATTATAGTATCTTTTTCTCTTTTTAGGGTTCTCATCCAAACCCACTACTACTTTTTATTTTATTTTATTATTCATTCTTTTTTACATTTATTACTTTTCAATAAGCTATTACCCCACTATCTTATTTTACAACTTTATAATATTCCAACTACCCCACTAAACTTATTTAAATCCATTAAATTGTCTAAAATTATATGACGGATAAAGTGTAACACTTATTAAGAGGGAGTATTGATCTTTACTAGAGAAAAATTAATCTTATGGATGTAAAGAGCTTAGCAATGCTGTTTACAATCATCCCATAATGTTAAGTTGTACTAAGATAAATTAAAGTTATTGTGGTATACCTTTTTTTTTTTTTTTTTTTTTTTTTTTTTGTGTGCAAAAGAGGAGCAAGCCATTGTGGTGTGTGTATATATATATATATATATATATATATATATATATATATATATATATATATATATATATATATATATATATAATAGTTACGAATTACGAATACCTACCTATTTTAGGTAGATCATATATCTAATGGAGACACTTGTAATTTTTGATAAACACCATATGTCTAATAAAATCTCAAATCATATGAGTGTGCAATATAATATGTCTATATAGCTTGATTCTCCTTTTGTTCCTGAAATATTATCTATCTTATTCTAATAAATAAAAAATAAAAAAAATAAGGATGGTAGGTTTTTTTTCTTTTTTGTGAAGATGGTTGTTATATTTTTTTTTTAAAAAAGATGATATTTTTTTTAAGATAAGAAAATAAAATATAAAAGGGGTAATTGGGAAAATAAAATTTATCATCCAAAACCCCTTTCACTTTATATATTATTATAGATAATTATAGTTTTAAAACTTTTTTTTTTTTTAAAACATTATAGTTTTAAAACTTTTAGACAAAGAAATATAAAATTGAGTAATTAACCAAACATATAAACCGATGATATGACTATAATTAAGTAACACAAACTTTCATATGTGGCTAGCCACATGGTGTGGCCAGCCACATGTTTTTTTTTTTGGAAAGAATGTTCGGGGTTATTTGGTCATGGGTTACTCACTCAATCAGGGGTTACTCACCCGATCAGGAGTTACTCGATCAGTCAAGGGTTACTTGGTCAGGGGTTACTCGATCTATCAGGGGTTACTCGGTTGGTCAGAAGGTTACTTAGTTAGGGGTTACTCGATCGGTTAGGGGTTACTCAGTCAGGGGTTACTCAATCGGTCAGGGGTTACTCGTTTGTTAGTTGGCCATACGGTGTGACCAGCCACACACAAAAGTTGTTGAGTAAGTAATTAATCAATATAGAATTACTAGGAAGAAAGCCATAAGCAATGGAGGTTGGATAGGAGTTAACATAGATTATGAGTGGTTTTATTTCGTTTTGAGAAGGTATTGTGTGCGGACTGCCGCATGCATAATTTCGTGCGGCAGACTTACAAATACCCTGGCTGATATGTTTCTTGTGTTGGCTGAAATGTTTTTTAATGTTTGATATGTTCCTTTTGTTGGCTGATATAAGACATTAGTTGACTGATACATTTCTTTAGTTGGCTTATATCTTTATTTTGTTGGATAATATGTTTATTTTGTTGGCTTATATGTTGCTTTTGTTGGCTGATTTCATCCTGAACTCCCGATGCATAAAAGTAATACATTTACCATCTCAACTAACTTTTATTAATGTTTCAAATTTCATATAATATTATATATTTCTTTCATTTATTAAATAAATTAGAGGTAATATAATTCATTTATTTTTCACAAGACTAGAATATAAATACATATAAGGTAAAAAAAAAAAGTAACAACCGAGACAATGCTCGAACCACATGCTATATACAAATAGTTGAACATTTTATCAAATTAAAGAAATACACAAACTAGCAACTCGGGGCACACACTAGTTTTCTATGAATCAGAGGTCTGCCATTGTAGTTGAAATGAGGAGAGAGAAACTGTGGTGTGATGAGGCTATGATTATATTGCAAATGCAAGTGAGAGAAACCCTAGTTGCCGCACAAATAATTGACTGCACCCAATAGTTTGTGTTTTATTTTTTAGGGACGGGAAGCAGTTGTAGGAAGATTTTTATTTTGTAAAAGGAAGGATGATAGTTAGAATAGAACAATGGACAATTTATTAAAAAAAATTGGTAGTTATGGAGTATCAATTTTTTTTAGTAGTTATTGTATTTTTTTTATTCTCGGTTATTATTACTACGTACTGTAATATTTTTCTAACAAATATTTTTCTTGAAAAATAAGTATTTTTTTAAAGGGTATTTTTGGAAAGGGAAAATTCCAATCAAAGTGCAGTTTTTATTTTATTTTATTTATTTATTTTTTTTGAAGAAAGGAAAAAAAAGAGTTCCCTTTAAAGATTAATTTTTTTTTTTTAAAAAAAAAACCCTTTAAAGATTAACAGATTTTTTTTGTTGGGTGAATAAAGATTAACATAGATACATAGATAGATAGATTTTGTTTGAAGCAACATAAATAGATAGATAGATATGGAAAGTTTAGTATGAATAGGAATCTGGGATTTTTTTTTTTAAAAAAAACCATCCTATAAAAACACTAAACGGCCAATTTCTTTATAAAAAAAAATAAAAATAAAACACTCAACGAGGTTGTCCGTAATTCCGTAATACGTAAGTTCGTCTCTCTCTTTCTCTCTCCTTACTTATTTTAATTTATTTGCTCATAAAAAAACTTAATTTTATGTTACAAATTTGTGAGATTTGTAGTAGATCATTGAATATTGAGTTTGAATTGTCTTAGGTTTCAATTTTATTCAATTTGTAACGGTTTATTGGTTGATTTTGCAGATTTGGTTTTGTATAATTAGGTTTCATTCGGTTGAATTAGGGTTTAGATTAGCTATGTTAGAACAATTATTGATTTTCAGTAGAGGAGGATTAATTTTATGGACCTGCAAAGAGCTCAGCAATGCTCTTAAAGGTTCTCCGATTGATACTTTGATTCGATCGTGTTTATTGGAGGAGCGATCTGGGTTAGCGTCGTTCGTTTACGATGCTCCGGGTGCGTCATACACCCTTAAATGGACTTTCCACAATGAATTGGGATTGGTTTTTGTTGCTGTGTATCAGAAGATTCTGCAGTTGTTGTATGTTGATGATTTGCTTTCGATGGTTAAGCGCGAATTCTCGGTTGTTTATGATCCGACTAGGACGGATTACGGCGATTTCGATGATGTTTATAGGCAGTTAAGGTTGGAAGCTGAGGCTAGAGCTGAGGAGATTAAGAAATCGTCGAAAGTGGGGGCGAGGATTGTTGGGAAGAAGCAGGAATTGGTTCAAAAGGCGAAATTTGATCAGGGTGGGAAGAAGAATGGTGGTGGGAATTTGAAGAGTGAGAATGGTGGGGATGGTGCTGATGATAGGTTGGTGAATGGGTATGTAAATGGGGGTAGGGGTAGCCTCGATGAGGAGGTTAAGAATCGCGGTAGTGTAAATGATAAGGAGAATTTGAGTTCGAATAATGGAGCATTTGATGTAAATAAGCTTCAGAAGTTACGACCAAAGGCTGGGAAAAAGAATGATAGTGCTGCTGTAGTTAGTAAGGGTTCCAAGCCGGAATCTAAGAAAAAGGTTACGAAAAAGAATAGAGTGTGGGATGATAATAAACCTAAAGATGTGAAACTGGATTATACTGATCCTGTGACTGAGAATGGGGATGAACATGTGAATTACCTCGCAGCAGAGATTGAGGGTGAGAGTATGATGGATAAAGAAGAGGTTATTAGCAGTGACAGTGAGGAGGAAGAAGATGAGCAAGTTGTGGATGGCTCTAAATCTGTGACAAAATCAAAGGGGTGGTTTTCTTCAATGTTTCAGAGGTTTGTTCCTTTACCCCTTTTGCTTGAATTACCTTTATATAGATTTTTGATTTATAATTTTGCCCTAGATCTTAGCGAATAAGACTGATGTTATATGTGTATTATTGAGATGATGGTATTTATGGCTTTATGTTAGCTCATTTAACAAGGTATGTTTGGAAATTGTTTTAAAATGAGACTCTGTATGGTTTGCCCTTCTGAAATTTCAATTCAGGATGCAATGTACTACTTGAGAAAATTTTCGTTTTTGCTACGTTACTTGTGGAAAACCATGATACTAAGTCCAACATTTTTGATACATCATTATTCTTGCACCTCTTTTTTTGGAAATATAATATTATGACGGAAACATAATTTCGCAAATTTTGGATCTCAGTATTGCAGGCAAGGCCAATCTGGAGAGGGCTGATCTTGAGCCAGCTTTGAAAGGTCTGAAGGATAGGCTTATGACTAAGAATGTGGTATGTTAGTTTTTTTCCGAAGTTGTTTGTGCTTATTTGTTTATTACAGTATGGCAAGGTGTCTCAAGAACCATGTGGGCGAATCCCATGATATTGATGATTATAGTTTTTTATGCTCTTTATTTGGTATTTTTGTTTCTTATGTACTTCTGATAACGGCAGGCTGAGGAGATAGCAGAGAAACTTTGTGAATCAGTTGCAACAAGCCTGGAAGGTAAAAAGCTGGAAAAATTTACGTTGGTATCATCAACAGTTAAGGTATGTGTGAATTATTAGTAGTAATTATCTTGTAAAATTAATAGTCATTATAAGTTTTCATCTGTTTATCATCTTCTTTTGTGCAATTTCAGGCTGCTATGGAAGATGCCCTTGTTCGCATCCTTACTCCTAAACGCTCTATTGACATACTTAGGGATGTTCATGCTGCCAAAGAACAAGGGAAGCCATATGTTGTTGTGTTTGTCGGTGTCAATGGAGTAGGAAAGTCTACCAACCTTGCCAAGGTGATCCATACTTAAAAGTCTTGTACATTTTCCTCTCTTTTTTTCTAGATTATCTGTTCTCCTAAGGCCTTTACTTATTTTTATTACCTATCATCTCACTTAAAATCTCAAGGCACTTTTACTTGTTGGCTAAGATTAAGTTAAGATATTTGACAATATGGATGCAGTAAATCAGTAATTAACAACTCTTTAATTTCTGTCAATAGCAATAAAATCTTTCTTTTAAATTAAGGGATCATATTTCTTAGTTTTTCAGATGTTGTATTACTCATGTTCTTTCTGTCAATGGACAGGTTGCATACTGGCTGTTGCAACATAAGGTAAGTGTCATGATGGCTGCCTGTGATACATTTCGTTCTGGAGCTGTTGAGCAGCTTCGTACTCATGCACGCAAACTTCAGGTATGGGCATCTGCATAAAATTGTCAGTGCTAAAAATATGTCAGCAATTGCCTGAAAACTGAACTTACTGGTATTTCAGATTCCAATCTTTGAGAAAGGTTATGAGAAGGATCCTGCTATTGTGGCAAAGGAAGCAATCCAAGAGGCCACTCGCAATGGTTCGGATGTGGTTCTTGTTGATACAGCTGGTCGAATGCAGGTATTCTGTCCCTCCTTAGCTCTTCCTTTTTATATATATATAAAAAAAAAATGTTAGTGTAAATTTGCTTTTTCGTGTATCATGTTTGACTATTCTCTTGTTTTGTTTACTCTCTTGTGTTCTATCTTTAACGTTTGGGGGTTGTCTTGCAGGACAATGAACCTTTGATGCGTGCACTCTCAAAGCTTATCAACCTTAACAATCCAGATCTTGTCCTTTTTGTTGGTGAAGCGCTTGTTGGTAATGATGCTGTTGATCAGCTCTCAAAATTCAATCAGGTTTGTACTGGGATTTAATTGCAGCCCATTATTTTGCCTTCTATATCCTTTACTTTTTTGTTTGGATTTTCCTTGAAAGTTGATCATCATCTGTTACTTTGATGCAGAAACTTGCTGATCTTTCAAACTCACCAAATCCAAGATTGATTGATGGCATCCTCCTTACCAAGTTTGACACCATCGATGACAAGGTAGGCCCTTTATCATCCTCCGACATCTCACTGTGCCAATCATACTGCATATATACTTGTGCACACTCCCTCCGGCTGAATTTAGAGTCACATTTCTGTAGGATTGCAGAATAAATTGTCACCCTGTATAATAAGAACAGATATATATTGGAATTAATAATATGCCACTACTAAAACTAAGTGATGAGAAAAGCCAAAGAGGATAGAAATGACTTGACTAATAAAGGATCTTTTGTCAAAGCATGTCATATAGCGTTTGGTCGGGGCATTGGGCTATTCAGAACAGAATGAATTGAATTGGATTGATTCCATTCCAGTGTTTTGGGGGTATCAATATTCTCCCCAATTATATCCTGCCTCCCTGCCAAAGCTTTAAACTACCCCTTAAGAATAAAAAAGAATTGAACCCCTAACTCACCCTAACCCCAAATTTGTGTTCCTCTCTGATTTCTCCACCTTCCCCTTGGCAAAGAGATGATTTATCTTAGCAAGTTTTAATGGGCAATGAATTTATACAGTATGAAACTGGGTGGGTAAATTTGATTAATCTAAGCTTCATACTCCCTCCGTTCCCTAATTGAAGCTGTAGTCACATTTTCACCTAATATTATTGTCCCTAAATAGTCCATTTTACCTTATTTATAATTGCTTTTTTTAAAAAAATAAAAAATTGAAGAAAGATATTTATATTTTCTTTAATTAATCAAATCACACTTTTTTTAAAGTCTTTTTTAATCACTTGTAATCAAATAAACCTCAGTATAAGACTTATTTTGAGATTGTGGGGAGTATGTGGCAAGATATGATTTTGTTTCATTTTATTTTGGACTCATATTTTGTATGTATTACGAAGTATAGTTATACTTCGTATATTATTTCACTTGATCAATAGAAACTCTTGATTCCATTTCCTGACATGGTTAATTGATGGAATTATTTAGGTTGGAGCTACTTTGTCCATGGTTTACATCTCTGGAGCTCCTGTGATGTTTGTTGGCTGTGGGCAGTCTTACGCTGACTTGATGAAATTGAACGTGAAGTCCATCGTGAAGACGCTCCTCAAGTGAGCCAACATAATATGCCACATCGTTTGTACTGTGTGATATGCTCTTTCTGGCATCCTCAAACTTACTGTCATCCTCTGTTTGATTTTAGATATTAATCCAGCTGTGTTGTTTCTGAGAAGAATTGTAAAAATAAAGATGTTTTTTGTTTGTGGCTCTATATAATCAATACTCCATACTTATATTTTATTTATAGGTTTTGACTAGGCTGAATGTCAACATTTTTTAAGTCAACAGATAGTATTCCAAATAAACTAGACTAAGGGGCAAAACTTTACAATAGAATAGAGTTAGTCTGAACCTTGAATTTGGGGATCAGCATTTATACACTGAGGAAAGAAAGCTCTAGTAATAGTCTTGGGCCAGTTAGGAAGATTTTCCATTTATGCATAAAAATTACAAATTACAATCCTAAAAATGCTGGAAATTGACGTCTAAATTTACTTATCAGCGGATAAACATGGGAAAAAACAAAAGTTATGTGTCAAGAGAAAATATGCCTGAAGATTATAAAGACCATATCAAAGGGGGGGTACCCTGGACATTGTCTTAATTTTAGAGGGGTTAAAATTGTCTATTGATGTTGGCTGACATGGATATTGCTCCATGTAACCAGGGTTATGAATTACCCACATACAAATTGCGTTTAAACCAACATTATCATTCCCACAGATCAACCAGCAACAAGATCTATGCAGTTCTTTAATTGCAAATGTCCGATTGAGCATTCTAGAGAACAAAAAAAAAAAAAAAAAAAAAAAAAAAAAAAACCAATTCGAAGAGCTCTTCCATTGAAGCTAATGGCGATAGTGGAGTAACTCCATTTCAGCTTATTATTTTAGCAATGCAATCAATCGTGAATGCCAATTGTCTGATGTGTACTCATCAATGTTCCTTTTATTTACCCATTTGCCATTAGATAAACAAAACATGTTAAACAATAGGATTTGTTAAACATCGCCCGCAAATCTCCACATAAAGCCCACAAAATTCACTTGATTTGACAATATTGCCCTTGACCTTAAAAAAAAACACTCACACTCTCATCACTCACATTCCCATCGCTCATCTTCTTTCAACCTCTCTAAAAAAAAAAATTTCAAACAATGGCAATGTCGAGGCGGCAAGGCAAGGAATTGGCGGCGGCGGCGGAGGGAAGGAGGTCCCAAGGAGGCAAGGCACAATTTGTTAAAAAAAAAGGGAAAACCGTCGTGACGGAGGTGGGGCGCCTTGGCTGGACGCCCAGCCAGCGGTGGTGGCGCCAGCTGCAGACGCCGCAACCAGTAGGCTGGCGCCTGGGCTGGACGCCATAGCCACGGTTGTGGCGTTTATTCAAGGTGTCGCAGCCGTGGCTATGGCGTCCAGCCCACTGGTTGCGGCGTCTGCAGCTGGCGCCACCACCGCTGGCTGGGCGTCCAGCCAAGGCCCCCCCCCTTTTTTTTTTTATATATATTTGTATTAAAATATTGTTTTTTTTTTTGTGTGTAATATCTTTTTCAATTGTTTTTATATTTTGTTGTTTATTTTTATAAATTTTTTCAATTTTGTTGTATTTTTTCTATGTTTATATTTTGTTTACAATTATTTGTTTGTTTTTTTTGTACATTTTTATTTTTATTCTCTATGTCGATTTGTTTTTATATTTTTTTGTGACTTTTATATTGTTTTTGGTTAGTTAATTTATTTTAAATTTTATTATTGATATTGTTTTTGGTTAGTTAATTTATTTTAATTGGGAATGAATTATTTATGTTTATATATATTCTTATGTGTTAGTTTTATTTCCTTTCTAAGTGTATTTTTTATTCTATTATTTTTATTTAAGTGTTTTGTTAATTTCTTTATTATGTTAATTTGTTAGTATGTTTTTAGTTTATTTGATTTGGGTAGTGGTAGCTATTTTTCGTATAATTTTTTGTATGTTTATATATTTTAAAATTTTGTGTAGAATTCACTGGGTCGTCATGGTGCGGGGAAGAATGTAGAGCTTCTTAGTAGAAGCTATTCAGTGGAGAGGTCGGACCATAGACATGTTAGATCCCGTGGTATTTCGGCCTCAGCTCGTAGAGAACGGATCCACCGTCGGGATGAGGATGACGATGACGATGATGATGCTGAGGAGGGTGACCAGGAGGAGGAGCGGGAGGAGGGCGCAGATGAGGATGAGGATGTGGACGATGGCAGTGGACCGTATGATGATTACGGTCCATTCAGTCAGAGGGTTGATGACATGTACGAGACACATATGGTCGAGGTGCGTAAGGGTAGGGGTGGTAGGTTTGTTAGTAGATCTGACACATCATCTGCGTCCACTGTATCTGGGGCAAGCAAGAAACGGTCGAGGGCCGTTAATGATTCTTGGGTTGTTAGGAGTGAGGTGCCCGGTGGTCCTGTTGACGGGAGTGTGATTCCTAGCTTTCTAGGACACATAGCTGCCCGTATTTGGGAGGACCAGGAGAGGCCTTCAGTTACGGGGTTGTTGAAATGTCATACCCGGGAAAAGACTTGTAGCTTTTTGCGTACATGGGCTGAGGCTTGGCCGGCGGAGAGCGAGATGTTCGAGCGACTGGAGGGCACTGGGGTGAATCACGTTCCTGCCACCATGCACGATAAGATTGACAGTACGCTGATCACGGCTTTCATTGAGCGATGACAGCCGGATACAAACTCTTTCCTCCTTCCGTTCGGTGAGATGACGATCATGTTACATGACGTCGAGGCCATTCTGAGGATTCGTGTTGAGGGTAAACGACTTTGTGCTGTGGCTGATGCGGATCAGGCAGATTTGCTGGCGGAGTTGTTCGCGGTGGACAGGGCTGCACTGTACACCGAGGCGCTAGGTGTTTGGGAACACGGTGGTGTGAAGATCGCATCCGTGTTGCAGCGGTGTTTGTACCCCAGTGCACGTAGGACGCACGACGCACAGCTGGCTGCTTATGTTTTTCTACTCCTCGGATGTACCTTGTTTCCGGATAAGAGCGGCGGAAACAAGCTCAGGCCACGCGACATAGTAGAGGCGTGTGACCCCGACAGTGTAGGCCAGTTTTCCTGGGGATCGGCTACGTTGGCGTATTTGTATCGCCAACTAGGATTTGCGAGTCGGGCTGACGCAGCAGGTATCACTGGGTGTCTGACTCTATTGCAGACTTGGATATACGAGTACTTTCCTGCATTGCGACCACATCGTGACCCGGTTCCTATTGATGAGGGGATGTCGCGTGCTTGTGCGTGGAGTCCGCGCTCGGAGAAGAAGTCTGTTGACCGCCTCCGATCGATACGGCTATTGCTGGACAGGCTGTCCCCCTTAGAGGTAACGTTTATAAATTGTTTCTACATTTTATTATTTGCACATATTATATTCATGTTATTAAATTTTAAAACTATGTGCAGGTGAACTGGATGCCTTTCGGCCCGAACCCTAGTGTTAGGGTACCCAGGACCCTGTACACGGGACTCATTCAGTATCGTGAGATCGTCGAGGCGTACATGCCCCAGCGTTGTCTTCGCCAGCTTGGATTTGTCCAAGTTGTCCCTCCTCCCCTGGCATCCCGATGAAGGCGGTCCGACCTGCATCGTCGAGGGACTACGTCGTGCAATGGACGAATATCATGACCGGGACGTGAGACCAGTTTCCGATGGTGGCCCGCTTATGGACTGCGGAGTTGCAGCGGCCGCCCTCTGGGGTTCCTCCCATGTGTGACCACTACTACATGGAATGGTTCAACCGGTATTCGCACCCGAGGTTGATCGCAGATCTCGACCACAGCGATGATGATTATGTGCCACCGCCTACTGCCATGGAAGCGGTATGTCTCATATTATATTTATCGTTGTCTTTGAATTTAGTTTTATATGTTGTTATTGTATTTCATCTTTTATTTTTTGTTGTATGCAGTGGATGGGAAAGATAATGCAGGACGTACAGAAACTCTCTCTGGAGAAGGACATCATGAGTGCAACAGTGAGAGCTGCTGTTGATAGTCTGGAACGGACCCTTGCGCACTGGGAGTCGGCGTCGAGGAGGGATTACTGATGGTTTTGTCATTTCATTTATAGAGCACTTTAAACATTATCATTTTAATTTATTAAATTGGACATTATGTTGTAAGTTTGTAACATTTTAGATTGTTCTTTTAGCTTCCAACTTAGACATATTATCAATGCTGTTTTTAAATTTTGACATAACCGTTCGTGGATCCGCACAACTTACCCATGCAACATATAGAATGCAGTAAGCAATACAATATAAAAGATTAATGCTCTCATTAAAAGAGAAACGTACAAATAAGATTACATAGGAAGAATGTAAACATGAAAAACTAAAATGCAGCTAGGGTGTTCCATTCGTGGATCCGGTCATGATAATGCGCATCCCAACCCTCTACGCTCGCTGTGCGAATGGTGTACCACCGAGGTATAATCGGTGGCACTGGAAAATCGGATGACATGTCTAGTCGGATGAAATGTCTGTATGACGACCCAAGAAACGCAATAGCTACCTCTCTGACCGGTGCCGTGACAGTCTCGCGCGAACGCCAAGGGAGAACCGTGGTACAAGGATAATACGCTTGACTATGCAATCCCAGGCCGAAATGCATGACTGCGCACTTGTAAATGTTTGCAACGGCAAACAGATCTAGGGGCGCGTCAAAATAATGATTTTGGCCGCAAGGTCCACCTCCCCACCGGATACGCCGCAGAGCGCCATCCAAGTCATCCTGGTACACATGACGATAAACATTTCGGTTAGAGGCAATTTCGCTGTACATCAACTGATGCACCAAACCGTAGTTGTCTTCGCCCATTTGAAAAACATCAGCCACGACCCGGAATCCGCAGTTACCATCTCCGACTAAATCATTCCACCCTTCCAAGTACGGCATGATGATCGCAGGTATCCTGTCCTTGTACGGAAACTGATCAACATCGTTTCTTCCTATTCACCATATAATTAAATACAGTTAAGAAGGCAGGAGTAACCTTATAAAAAATGTGCAATGTAAAAAACCAAAACGTACCAGTTCTCAAGGGCATATTCACAGACGATGAAGATTGACTACGACCGACCACGAGCACGACCACGACCAAGACCACGGATATACTCAAACGCACTCCTGTTCCGCCGTTGCCGACCTCGAGGATGGTCAACTCCTTCGGGTTCCTCAAAATCTAAGGTTGACGTGTGGAACATGTCATGAAGTACATGAGTAGCGTCACGAATAATAGAAGGATGG